GGGGGTCCTGAGGGGGATTTTGGGGGTCCTGGGGGGGATTTTGGGGGGAATTTTGGGATTTTGGGGGGAATTTGGGGATTTTTGGGGCTCCTGGATGAGATTTTGGGGAGGATTTTGTGGATTTTGGGGCTCCCCTAAACCTTTCCCACCCTCAGGAATCCAAATCCTTCGCCGTGGGGATGTTTTTGGGGCGCCTGAACGTGGAGCAGGTGTTCCCTTATCCCTCAGGTGAGGACACCCCAAAATCCAGGGAAATCCGGGAAAATTCGGGAGAATTTTGGGGAATTTTTGGGGAATTTTAGGGAATTTTTGGGGGAATTTTTGGGAATTTTTTGGGGAATTTTTGGGAATTTTTTGGGGAATTTTTGGGGAATTTTAGGGAATTTTTGGGGGAATTTTAGGGAATTTTTGGGGAATTTTAGGGGAATTTTTTGGGGAATTTTTGGGGAATTTTAGGGGAATTTTTTGGGGAATTTTTGGGGAATTTTAGGGAATTTTAGGGAATTTTTTTGGGAATTTTAGGGAATTTTTTTGGGAATTTTAAAGGAATTTTGAGGGAATTTTGAGGGATTTTTGGGGAATTTTTGGGGAATTTTGGGGGAATTTTTGGGGGAATTTTAAAGGAATTTTGGGGGAATTTTAAAGGAATTTTGGGGAATTTTGGGGGAATTTTTTTGGGAATTTTGGGGGAATTTTTTTGAATTTTTGGGGGAATTTTGAGGGAATTTTAAAGGAATTTTGGGGGAATTTGAAAGGAATTTTTGGGGAATTTTGAGGGAATTTTTGGGGAATTTTGGGGGAATTTTAAAGGAATTTTGGGGGAATTTTGAGGAATTTTGAGGGAATTTTGGTGGAATTTTGGGATAATTCCAGGATAATTTTGGGATAATTCCAGGATAATTTTGGGATAATTTTGGGGTAAATTCAGAATAATTTTGGGACAATTCCAGGACAATTTTGGGATATTTTTGGGATAATTTTGGGATAATTTTGGGACAATTTCAGGATATTTTTGGGATAATTTTGGGACAATTCCAGGATAATTTTGGGATAATTTCAGGATATTTTTGGGATAATTTTGGGACAATTCCAGGATAATTTTGGGATAATTTTGAGATAATTTTGGGATAATTTTGGGATATTTTTGGGACAATTCCAGGATAATTTTGGGATAATTTTGGGATAATTTTGTGATATTTTTTGGGATAATTTTGGGATAATTCTGGGATATTTTTGGGATAATTTTGGGATATTTTTGGGATAATTCCAGGATAATTTTGGGACAATTCCAGGATAATTTTGTGATAATTTTGGGATATTTTTGGGATAATTTTGGGATATTTTTTGTGATAATTTTGGGACAATTCCAGGATAATTTTGGGACAATTCCAGGATAATTTTGGGATAATTCCAGGATAATTTTGGGACAATTCCAGGATATTTTTGGGATAATTTTGGGATAACTTTGGGATAATTTTGGGACAATTCCAGGATATTTTTGGGACAATTCCAGGATATTTTTGGGATAATTTTGGGACAATTCCAGGATAATTTTGAGATAATTTTGGGATATTTTGGGGATATTTTTTGTGATAATTTTGGGATATTTTTGGGATAATTTTGGGACAATTCCAGGATAATTTTGGGATAATTTTGGGATATTTTGGGGATATTTTGGGGATATTTTTTGGGATAATTTTGGAACAATTCCAGGATAATTTTGGGATAATTTTGGGATAATTTTGGGATATTTTTGGGACAATTCCGGGATATTTTTTGGAACAATTCCAGGATATTTTTGGGATAATTTTGGGACAATTCCAGGATATTTTTGGGATAATTTTGGGATAATTCTGGGATATTTTTTGGGATAATTTTGGGATAATTTTGGGATAATTCCAGGATAATTTTGGGACAATTCCAGGATATTTTTGGGATAATTTTGGGATATTTTTGGGATAATTTTGGGATATTTTTGGGATAATTTTGGGATAATTTTGGGATATTTTTGGGATAATTTTGGGATAATTTTGGAACAATTCCAGGATATTTTTGGGATAATTTTGGGACAATTCCAGGATAATTTTGAGATAATTTTGGGATATTTTGGGGATATTTTTTGTGATAATTTTGGGATATTTTTGGGATAATTCCAGGATAATTTTGTGATAATTTTGGGATATTTTTGGGATAATTTTGTGACAATTCCAGGATATTTTTGAGATAATTTTGGGATATTTTGGGGATATTTTTTGTGATGATTTTGGGATATTTTTGGGATAATTCCAGGACAATTCCAGGATAATTTGGGATAATTTTGTGACAATTCCAGGATATTTTTGGGATAATTCCAGGATAATTTTGGGACAATTCCAGAATAATTTTGGGATAATTTTGTGACAATTCCAGGATATTTTTGGGATAATTTTGGGACAATTCCAGGATAATTTTGAGATAATTTTGGGATATTTTTGGGATAATTTTGGGACAATTCCAGGATATTTTTGGGACAATTCCAGGATATTTTTGGGATAATTTTGGGACAATTCCAGGATATTTTTTGGGATAATTTTGGGATAATTTTGGGATAATTTCCCCTTTTCCCCCCCTCCCCAGTCCTGACCCAAGAAGAAGAACAAACCCTGCAAGAACTCGTGACTCCCCTCACCCGCTTCTTTAAGGTAAAAACCCCCAAATTCCCACTTTTCCACCTCCTAAAAACCTCAGGAATTGCAAGAATCATCCCAAAAATCCCCAAAATTCCCAAATTTCCTGGCAGGAAGTGAACAACCCCGCCAAAAACGACGCCCTGGAGAAGGTGGAGGACGAGACCATGAAAGGGTTAAAGGAGTTGGGGGCGTTCGGGCTCCAGGTGCCCCCAGAATTTGGGGGTTTGGGTCTCAACAACACCCAGGTGAGGTTGGGGGACCCCAAAATCGTCTCCCAGTAAATCCCAGTTTGGCCCAGTTTGTCCCAGTTCCAAAAAATTCGCCCCAAATCTTCAAAAATTTCCCTCAAATTCGCCCAAAATCCCCCCAGGATTCACCAAATTCCCCCCAAATCCCTTCCCAGTTCATCCCAGTTCATCCCAGTTCGTCCCAGTTTGTCCCAGTTTGTCCCAGTTGCTCCCAGTTTGTCCCAGTAAATCCCAGTTCCAAGAAATTCGTCCCAAATCTCCAAAAATTCCACTCAAATTCGCCCAAAATCCCCCCAGGATTCACCAAATTCCCCCAATTTCCCCTCAAATCTTCTTAAAACCCTTCCCAGTTTGTCCCAGTTCATCCCAGTTCATCCCAGTTTGTCCCAGTTTGTCCCAGTTGCTCCCAGTTCCCAAAAATCCTCCAAAAATTCCACTCAAATTCGCCCAAAATCCCCCCAGGATTCCCCAAATTCCCCCAATTTCCCCCCAAATCCCTTCCCAGTTCATCCCAGTTCATCCCAGTAAATCCCAGTTGCTCCCAGTTGCTCCCAGTTGCTCCCAGTAAATCCCAGTTCCAAAAAATCCTCCCCA